TTTTTGTTATTGTTTTTATTTTCCAGTCTTTTTCTCTTTGTGGTTAAGTTTAGAATTTCTATTGCTCTCCTTAAGTTCACTCATCTTTTCTTCTGACTTTTTCGTTTGCAGCTAATCCTATTGACTTTTCCGTGTTTTTTATCTCTGGAATTTTTATGTGGTTCTTCTTTGTATCATTTTTCTTTTCTTATCATTTTCAAGCTTTACTTTAAGCTCTTGAGAACATTTATAAGAGACACCTTAAAGTTCTTTTCTGAGCTGGGTGTGGTGGCGTGTGCCTGTAGTCACAGCCACTCAGGAGGCTGAGGCAGGAGAATCACTGGAGCCCAGAAGTTTGAGGCCAGCCTGGGCAACATAGGCCTCTTTAAAAAAAAAAAAAAAAGAAAGAAATAAAAGAAAAAAAAAGTTCTTATTTGAAAGTTCCATTATCTATGTAATATCTGGATCTATTTTTATATACTTTTAGTTACGGGACACATGTTTTACATGTCTAGTAATTTTTTATTAGAAAGTGTGGATTTCAGGTTGTATGTCTGGCTTTTTCATCTTCCTTTGAAAAGACTTGTCCTTTATTCTGACAAGCAAGTAACTTATTTACAGGTTTAGTTTCAAGTTTGTTTTTAGGCTTTTTAGAATGACTTTAGAGTAGTAGCTTCTACTTTTGGGTGACCTTTCTGAAGTCTATACTGAATGCCCCTTCTGTTCAGTGACAGCACTCCACCGTGGCAGACCCACACTCAGCACCCTTCAGCCCTGTGTGAGCTCTGGGCTTGCCAACTCACAGTGCCCCGTCCATGGCAGACCCACACTCAGCACCCTTCAGCCCTGTGTGAGCTCTGGGCTTGCCAGCTCACAGTGCCCCGTCCATGGCAGACCCACACTCAGCACCCTTCAGCCCTGTGTGAGCTCTGGGCTTGCCAGCTCACAGCGCCCCGTCCATGGCAGACCCACACTCAGCACCCTTCAGCCCTGTGTGAGCTCTGGGCTTGCCAGCTCACAGCGCCCCGTCCATGGCAGACCCACACTCAGCACCCTTCAGCCCTGTGTGAGCTCTGGGCTTGCCAGCTCACAGCGCCCCGTCCTTTCCAGTCTTCAGAGCTGCACCATCTGCACATATAGCTGAGTGATCAGCAGTAAACTCAAGGGCTCCCACACAAACCCTTTCTCTGCTTAGCTCCTTCCTTTCTAGGTCTCTGGATATAAGAATTATCCAGTTTGTAAGTAGGTTCCAAAACCATTTTCTAGTATATTATGTTATAAATTGTAGCTGGGTTTTAAGAGTAAACCACAAAGGATTATGTAGGTGGAACTTATATAGAGATAATGTTGTATATTCTTTCTCACACATATACTGTCACACTTTCCCTCCATTGTTGCTAGTAATTTAGCAAAATAAGAATGTTGGGAAAGCATATTTGGGTACAGTCTCAACCTCCTTGACATCCAAAGCCCTGCTTGGGATTCTCCTGCAGTGTGGTCCAAAAAGTGCCATTGGGTTCAAGAGTTCAAGTCATGTTTTCCTTCTCTCGGGTCACAGTCCTTTGCTGTGTGTGAAAACAGTTGTTAGATTTCCTCTGAGCAATATTGCAGTTGTTCACATCAAGACAGTCCAGTCCCAGTTACCCTGAAATGGATAGAAGAAAATTACTGCTGCTTTTTATTCGTTCATCAGTTGGTGGACATTTGGGCTGTTTCTACCTTTCGGCTATTGTCAGTAATGCAACTGTGAACATTCACACGCATGTGTTTGTGTCTGTGTGTTCTCAGCTATCTGGGATGTATAGCTTGGGATGGACTTGCTGGTTCTACGGTAACTCTGTTCAACATTCTGAGGCCCCGCCAGACTGTTCCTAGAATGGCTATTCCATGTTGAATCCCCACTGATGATGTGTCGTGTGAGGGTTCCAGTTTCTCCACATCCTTGAGTTTGGGTTTGGATTTTGTTTTAATTGTTGTGGTTTTTGGTTCAGGTGGTCTCATTTTTCCCCGGTGTAAGCAAACACTGGAGCCAGAGGATAGACCCTCCGAGGATAAACAGGCACCTTTCTGCACTGGCGATGTGGCGGAAAACTCAGCGAGTTCCGTGCCAGGTGCAGGGCCCGCTGCCTTTCAGCAACTCTACCCCATGAGCATTTGTGTCTTTAGGCTTCCCAGGCAGTAAGGCCCGTAAGCTTTCAGGCCGCTGCTCTGGCTTCTGTTTTGTCTTTCACCATGAAAATCAAGAAGAGACAACTGAGACTATTCCCCCATTGCAGGAAAGACAGCCAGGCCCCTAAGCGCCTGTCAGCTGTGAGAACAGCCACTTGCTCCTCCAGAAATGCACCTGACCAGGAGAATGGGATGGTGAGATCACGATGAGTCCCAGATTGTGATATGTTCGTATATCTCCTTCGTGTTCCCTGGACCTTGCCCTGGATAAAGTAGACCCTCGCTGAACGGTTTGCCATTGGTTCTAGCTGGACTCCATCCAGGTGCAGCAGCGCAGCTCTCTAGAAGGCCCTGCGGGAAGCTCCCTCCCCTCCACACAGTAACCACTGGAGGAGATGCAGTGCCAGCGTCTCCACCTCCCTGTGCCGTTAGCCACACAGCAAGGGCGAGGTTTGTCTTAAGACGCTTGTCACATCCTTGGCCCTCCGTTGATGGGATATTTGATAGTCATGCATATGCTAATATCTCAGGAACTTGCTGTGGTAACTAAAATATTAACTAACAGAGAATTCTAAAGGCGAGATTTTTGCAGCATGGTCTCACTGAGAATGTTGCGGGGATGGAGGAGTTGTCCCTGCCCCTCCGTCCCTGGCATTGCGATTTGATTTTGCTCTTCACCCAGCTCGCTGCCCTCTGGCTGAGATGCTCTTTGTCTGAGAAGAGTTGCGTTTTTGCAGAGCTTTCTGGAGCGCTGGGTCTGAACTCTTTTATTTTGCCCTGTAATTATTGCTGCTAGATCAGTTAGCTGATTTTGTGGATCTGGTATATGAAGTACTTCACCTTACACTCTGAAAGCAGAAATTATACAACGGCTGCCTCTAGGTCTTTGCCTCAATGTGAGAAAACGTGAGGTCGGCCTCGAGCACCAGGTTTAGCACCAGGGAAAAGACAGGTCTATGACGCGGAGCCGCCCGGCCTCTCCTGCCGCAGACTGTTGATCTCTCCCGGGAGAGAGGGAGGCAGCAGAGGGGAGAAGCAATGTCAGCAGCTTTTCTGATTCTCTTGCTCTCATGCTCTAGATATTGTTCTTCTTTTAAGTGTCACCATTTTGAAAGATAGCGAAAGATTGAAATAACCTTGCTTCTTAGGAGAAACAACTTCTATGGTTTTCTTTTCCCCCCACAAAAAGAGGGTAGGAGAACAATAGGAAGAGATCTGAGCCAGTGGTGAAGTCCAGGCGGGGGGCACGCAGGCGTCTGTGCACCCTCAGTCACTGTGTGCTCCCGGTGGCCTGCCTGCAGCATGAGCATCAGCTTCCCTGCGGCTGGGAGGCAGCTTTGTGCTGGGATGGAGAGGTCTTGGCTTTCTCCACCCCCCATCTTGGGGTTGTCCTAGTTTGAGTCTTTCTTCTGTTCACCCGAGAGACTGCAGGGCCTTTGTGCCGTGTCCCTGTCAGCAGCTGCTGCGGGCCAGATGCCCAGAGCACATGTCAGGGAAGGTCCAGCCAGTTCCCGGCTGCTTGCTGTCTCCGGGCATTTCAGGGACCTCAGAGCCACTGCTTCCTCCTCCCAGGCTGCTCACCGTCTCTGGCATTTCAGGGACCTCAGTGCTGCTGCCCTTTCCCCCTGGACTGCTCTGTCCCCCCGGCTGCCCCTGCCTCAGGTGTTTCAGGGACCTCAGTGCTGCTGCCCCTTCCCAGGTGCCTTTCCTCAGTCAGCAGCACCCCCAGAAGGGAGAGAGATGGTCCAGGGCTGTGTCCTGGTCCCCGCTGTGTGTGAGAGGCTTCTCCTGCTGCCCATGGAGAGCATTGCGTCCTGTGAGCAGCCTTTACTTACCCTGGACTCTCCCTCAGCCTGCGGTGCAGCCACCGAAACAGCACTGAGGCCCGCGGACTGGAACAGTTTTCTCTGCACTGTTGGGATGACTAGTTTGTCCCCATGCAACAGACTTGGTAACTTCACGCCCTTCCCTGGGGCCCCCAAACCGTGCTGACTCCTGAGGCTCATGAAGGCCAGCTCGCCCAGCATCTGGGCTTGACACCAGCTATGAGATCGCTCCCTGCTCAGTGCAGGTCATTGGCACATCTCTTCTGTCCCCAGGCCACACAAAAGCACCGGTTCCCTCCCCTTGCCTTTCTGTGTCTTCCCTTTAAAGTAAGTGGCATGCTTCAGATTCCACTTTCAGTGTTCTTCAGCACCATCGAAAGATCAGTATAATCAGAGGAGTTGGGTCAGGAGGTAGAAACAGTCCCGTGCAGAGGCAACTGGATTCTTCCCTGGCTTGCAGCATGAAGTGAGCCCACCAGCTCCTGGAGCAACGCTTGGCTCAGCGAGGCTATTGAGGACCTGCTGTGAAAGGGGGTCTCAGTTTTCGGGGCCTTGATGGAATTTGGGAAGACTATTCAGGCCTGCCTGCACCAGCGCAAGTCTGGCCACTGTGTGGTGCAGCCCCTGGTCCCCAGCAGTGTCACCTTCGTTCTCCTAGGCCTCCTTAGGCCCCTCACCTGAGGCCCCTCTGCTGGCTTGGCTTTGCCTCTCACTGCAAGCCTGGTGGTAGGTGGCAGGATTTACCATTTCCTCTCTAGAATAAAGAACATGCTTTCCAATCAGTGGTGAATAAAGATATAATTTTAAAAATAAAAAGAATAAGGAGCAATTCTAAAATTATGCATTTTATTAACAATTGTGGTAATTTAGCTTCTGGTTAATTGAAGTTTTACGATACTATAACCGTTACTTTTACCTCCATAAGCCACTGGAGAAAAAAGAAATTTTGTTTAGTTATGGGTTCTGGTTAGCTGAGTTTAACTGACATTTTATTGTCTTGACATATTTTTCTTCTCTTCTTCCCAGGGAGATGCAGTTAAAGACTTGATGCTTCGCTTTCTGGGTGAAAAAGCTGCAGCAAAGAGACAAGTCCTAAATGCCGACTCAGTGGAACAATCTTTTGTTGGATTGAAACAGCTAATCGTAAGTGACAATGTGTTTGATTTCAGTGTTGTGATAAGTCCTGCCTGCCTTCATAATATTTTCTCTAGAAATTAATTATTTTGAATATTATTCATAGCTTTTGCACATAAGTAGAATTTTGTTGGAGTAGATGCCAGTCCTGTGCACCAAAAAGCATCATATTAATACATGGATACTTCTAAGCCTAATTAGTTAAAAAGCCATTATTGGAAATGATCAGATTACTCAAAGCAGCATATACTTTGATCGAGTATGCTTCATCATGTATAATAGAGATAAATGATTTGTGTTCGTTTTTAAAATATATTGCATTTTCTGCATTTTGTATAGAAAATTTATTGAATGGGTGAATTTCTGAACATTTTTAAGTTTTGTCATGAATTCTATAAGGTTTTTAAAATTCGTGGCTGGGCGCAGTGGCTCACGCCTGTAATCCCAGCACTCTGGGAGGCCGAGGCGGGCACATCATGAGGTCAGGAGTTCAAGGCCAGCCTGGCCAACATGGTGAAAGCCCGTCTCTATTAAAAATACAAAAATTAGCTGGGCATGGTGGTGCGTTCCTGTAATCCCAGCTACTCAGGAGGCTGAGGCAGGAGAATTGCTTGAACTGGGACCCGGGAGGCAGAGGTTGCAGTGAGCCAAAATCACGCCACTGCAACTCCAGCTTGGGCTACAGAGCGAGACTCCATCTTAAAAAAATAAAAAATAAATCATTAATACTGGATCACTGATCCATTGCTGTACAGGTTGATTTGATTCCAGTGAATTTATAATCTTAAAGGCAGCTGGAATCGTGTTGGATAGCTTTTCTAGATGAAGGAGAAGATATTGGAAGTTTGTCGTATATGTTTCCCTCAGGAATCCTAAGGCAGCCATCGGGTAAGTACTCTGAAATGAGAGCCCCGGCTCACGCCGAATCTCAGCTCCCCAGTGCCGTCTCCTTAGGGGGCTGTGGAATTGCTCTTCTTGCTCATCCAGACGGTTGCCTAGAGTGAACTTAGCAAAGCCATGCTTCCATGCCTGCATGCAGTCAAATTTTAGGAACTAGAATTTGCTTAAAATAGGTGAAATCTGGTTGGGTGCGGTGGCTCACGCCTGTAATCTCAACACTCTGGGAGGGCGAGGTGGGTGGATTACCTGAGGTCAGGAGTTCAAGACCAGCCTGGCCATGGTGAAACCCCATCTCTACTAAATATACGAAATGCACTGTCTTGAAGGGGTTTGGAGAGTGAGGTCCTTGATTTTGGGAATAAGTCCCACCGGCTGTCTGAAACTCGTGTTCACCGTGACTGTTGAATTTCAGCAGCACATGGTCCGGACTCACTCTTGATTTGGGTGAACAATCTGGAGGACATATATTCACCTGTCATCCTTCAAAAAAGAGAATGGAATTTCCTAATTTACTTATTTTTCTAATAGTTCCCCATCTTGTTTTTCTCAATTGTTACTAATTCTTCTGCACCGAGCTTCAGATTTCACCTTTTTTTTTTGAGACAGTTTTTTGCTCTTGTTACCCAGGCTGGAGTGCAATTGTACAATCTCGGCTCACTGCAACCTCTGCCTCCCAGGTTCAAGCGATTCTCCTGCCTCGGCCTCCCACATAGCAGGGATTACAGGCGTGCACCACCACACCCAGCTAATTTTTTGTATTTTTAGTAGAGATGAGGTTTCACCATGGCCAGGCTGGTCTTGAACTCCTGACCTCAGGCGACCCACCCGCCTTGCCCTCCCAGAGCCCTGGGATTACAGGCGTAAGCCACCGCACGGGACCAGATTTCACCTATTTTAAGCAAATTTTAGTTCCTAAAGACATAATAGTTGAGAAGTTTAGAAATTTCTTGAGGATTAAACTTTATCGCCCATTGAAATGACAGGTGAAGGTTAGCCTATGAACTAAAACAGAAAACTTCAAAACGAAAATGTTTGAGGTTTATTTTGGAGCAGGACGTGGCTCAGTCCCCGCTCAGAAGCGACTGTCTTTTGTGTGAAAACGGTGATATGTAAATCACTTTACTGCACAAAGACTACAGTGAAATTCAGAAGAAAATAATTCCAGTATCCTTTTGTGTTCCATCACCTCTGCCTCTGTATTTGAAAGTGAGGTAGATGGCCGGGCGCGGTGGCTCACGCCTGTAATCCCAGCACTTTGGGAGGCGGAAGCGGGCGGATCACGAGGTCAGGAGATCGAGACCATCCTGGCTAACACGGTGAAACCCCGTCTCTACTAAAAATACAAAAAACTAGCCGGGCGAGGTGGCGGCACCTGTGGTCCCAGCTCCTCGGGAGGCTGAGGCAGGAGAATGGCGGGAACCCGGGAGGCGGAGCTTGCAGTGAGCCGAGATCGCGCCACTCACTCCAGCCTGGGCGACAGAGCGAGACTCCGTCTCAAAAAAAAAAAAAGAAAGTGAGGTATAGCCTGTCCGCATTCTGCCAGAAATGACTGATGTTCGTGAGGCCGAAATCCTGAGGCAGAACCACAGGAGAGGAGTGATTTCTTGATCTTCAGCAATAGCCTTTAGCAAAGTAACAAAATTTTTTCCTTAATTGACTAGTTCTCTTGAATTCAGACACATCCTTATTATGTGTGGTTTTGTGACTTCTGTGCCACTTGAGAAGCTTTCCTGGGTTCAGTATGGGTTGGGGGCTGCCAGCTACACTGACCAGGCCACCTGGAACCCCTTCGCGTGGGGCCTGACTCCCACTGGTGATCCCCTTCGCGTGGGGCCCGGCTCCCGGCTCTGATCCCCTTCGCGTGGGGCCTGACTCCCGGTGGTGATCCCCTTCGCGTGGGGCCCAGCTCCCGGTGGTGACCCCCTTCGCGTGGGGCCCGGCTCCCGGCTCTGATCCCCTTCGCGTGGGGCCCGGCTCCCAGCGGTGACCCCCTTCGCGTGGGGCCCGGCTCCCAGCGGTGACCCCCTTCGCGTGGGGCCCGGCTCCCGGCTCTGATCCCCTTCGCGTGGGGCCTGACTCCCGGTGGTGATCCCCTTCGCGTGGGGCCCAGCTCCCGGTGGTGACCCCCTTCGCGTGGGGCCCGGCTCCCGGTGGTGATCCCCTTCGCGTGGGGCCCGGCTCCCAGCAGTGACCCCCTTCGCGTGGGGCCCGGCTCCCGGTGGTGATCCCCTTCGCGTGGGGCCCGGCTCCCGGTGGTGACCCCCTTCGCGTGGGGCCCGGCTCCCGGCTCTGATCCCCTTCGCGTGGGGCCCGGCTCCCGGCTCTGATCCCCTTCGCGTGGGGCCCCGCTCCCGGCGGAGATGACCCAGATTGCGGTTGTGTGAGGGCCTGTCCGAAGCACAGGCGGGGGCTGCACTCCGCTGTGGTGTCACACAGTGACATCGTGCCCTAGGTTCCTGGATTTTCTAGTCCCTCTCTTTTGATTTTAAACTTCTCTTTGACTTTCTGCTTTCCAGTGTTCTATTGTCAGCAGATCTCTTGCTTCCTAAGAGAGCCTAAAGGAAAAAAAACTAGAGTCCTCCCCATTTTACTCAAGTTAGTTTCTTATATTCTTCTCAGTCTTGATTGTTAACTTCCTTTGATCCCTGATCTTTTCCCCAAATAAAGAAACCTTTTTTGGAGTCTTGCCCAAAAAGCCTGTTTTTGAAAAAGTACCGAACCTTGGCAAAGCAGCCTCAGTTACTTGGATTTTATCCTGACTTCATTATATGCATGAACTGGAGGTGACATGTCATCAGTGTCAATAACAAATGCTGTAACTTGTAGGGGGAGACAGAGCCAACCTACAAAAATGAAAAATCTGTAATAAACACCGTGACAGTCAGGAAGCGTCTGTCTTGTTCACCAGTGCATCTGAGGACCCAGCATGGTCGGGCACCGAATGGCACACAGCGTCTTCTTGAATAAATAAAGGGATGAGGGAATGATAGTAAGAGGACCCCCCGTCGGTAAGCTACTCTTTTAATAAAGAAGTAGCACCAGAATGTTGGGTTTAAAGAAATAGAGAAGGAGCTCATACAAAAGGATAGAGCAGGGGGCCGTTCCAGGGAAGGGGGCGCAAAGAGTGAGGAGGCGAAACCACAAGATGAGTCTGGGAAAGATGGAACGTTTCTTCCTCTGCAATGACAGAAAAGGAAAGGAAGGATTTGATAGGAATGCAAATCGAATCTAACACATTTTCAAACTGTGATTCTGAGAACCCTCGGGTTCCAGGGAGGTGCCTTGGGGTGACTGGGCATGGCCTGCGGAGGTGACTTGCCAGGCCCAGTGTCACGCAGAGCATTTCAGCGGGATCTATTTTATACATAAGTCTCTCTTGAGATGTCTTTTTTTGGGGAGTGGGGGAAAAGGTGGATGAATTTTACTATTTAAAAATTTGAAAAACTTAACATAGTCCAAAATGCTCACTTTGTAGATTAAAACACTAAGATCTGCAAAGGTGTAGAGGTTGGCCCCAAACAAATGTCCTCGCTTCTGTTGCCAGTACCGTCCCTGCTGCCCAGTGTCCCTTACGTGCCAGTACCGTCCCTGCTGCCCGGTGTCCCCTACGTGCCAGTACCGTCCCTGCCGCCCGGTGTCCCCTACGTGCCAGTACCGTCCCTGCCGCCCGGTGTCCCCTACGTGCCAGTACCGTCCCTGCTGCCCGGTGTCCCCTACGTGCCAGTACCGTCCCTGCTGCCCGGTGTCCCTTACATGCCAGTACCGTCCCTGCCGCCCGGTGTCCCTCACGTGCCAGTACCGTCCCTGCCGCCCGGTGTCCCTCACGTGCCAGTACCGTCCCTGCCGCCTGGTGTCCCCTACGTGCCAGTACCGTCCCTGCTGCCCGGTGTCCCCTACGTGCCAGTACCGTCCCCCTGCTGCCCGCCCCCCGTCCGTCCCCCCCTCCCCACGTGCCAGTACCGTCCCTGCCGCCCGGTGTCCCTCACGTGCCAGTACCGTCCCTGCCGCCTGGTGTCCCCTACGTGCCAGTACCGTCCCTGCTGCCCGGTGTCCCCTACGTGCCAGTACCGTCCCATCCCTGCTGCCCGGTGTCCCTTACATGCCAGTAC